TTCCTTGCTACTTCATAACTGTCATTTTGTGAGTGTTATGAATTATACTGTCAATATCTATATTTTCATAAGTTTTTAGGTGATCTCTATGAAAGAGAGTCCTAGGATTACCAAATGGGTCACTACCCACAGGTTGAAAAACACTGTTTTCATGGGTATGTGATAGTAAATTAGACTATGGAGACAAAAATCAGAAAGTGAGCTACTTGCATCAGAGAGACAAGAACACAAACAAATCAAGAGAATAAATATTAGAGAATCGTGCAGTAGCTAATGTCAACAGGAATGTACCCAACATGTCTTCAATTAATTATTTTAGATGTTTAAATATTTTGCATGGATTCTTTCTGTGTACCTTGTGTGGAGGCTGGCCACAGACACCCAAGAGGGCTTTGGATCCCCTGGAATTGCAGTTCCAGATCGTTGTGAGCCAAGATGTGGGTGTGAGTAAACTGCAAAAACTGTGGGTTTGGTGTTCCAGGTTTTAACACCAGAATGTTAGTAAATCGATGGATTTAACTGCAAGGAAACAGTTTAGACCTAGAGGGTGAGGGATCAAGGATAACTGGAGCTACTCTGAACAAGAGCTCTGCCCTGTAGGTGTCCTGGACTCCTGAAGCTCTTTAGCACAGCTGTGATGGCTGAGCTGGAAAAAGTTTAGCCCTTGAGGGCAACGTATCCTGGACCCCTGGGGCTACTTAGAACAAGAGCTCTGCCCTGAATGTGTCCTGGACACCTGAAGCTGTGTAGCACAGCTGTGATGGCTGGGACTCTAAAGAAACAACACAACCTTGGAAAGGAATTTTTTCTGACCTCTCTGGAGAGTCAGGCCTGGAACTACTTCAGCAAGGAAGGGTATCCTGTCTCTTCAGGAATGTCAGGATATACCTGGTGTGATGGGGTATAATCTTCCCACAGGACACAGCAATCCTGCTCCTATCCTGGATTGCCACAATCTCAGGATCAGTGTTACCAGCTCTTTCTTTGTCAGTCCACTACTGGAAGTCCCTGCAAGGTTCTTCTCTTCAGCTCCCCCTTGCCTGTTCCACTATAAGACATCCCCAGCAAGGTTCTTCTGTTCACCAGTCAATGAAGGTCTTCACCCAAAACTCTTTTGAGAAAGAGGTTTATTTGGGAAGGAGGAGTTCAGGAGAGTAGCTGCCTCTACTAGAGTGGAGAGAACAGCTCACAACTGACTGGGAAGGGCAGTTGATATAGAATGTCTAGGGGGCAGAGTCAACTGTGATTGGTTAGTTTATTTTCTGCCCAGGGATTGGCCAGTATGAGCCATGAGCAGAGATGGCCCTGATTTCAAGCCCAAACTGTGTTTCTTTCACTGTCCTTTCTTGGCTTTTTGACACTACCTCTAAGGCCAGGGCACATTTCTTTCTCTGACTATGATTCTAGGGGCCAAGAGTGTTATTCTGGTACTAGTTTCAGAGTCAGGGCGTATTTCCTGGGTTCTGGGTTTGGGGATAAAGTGTTCATTTCTCTGGCTCAGGTCCCAAACACAGGCTGTGTTTCTTTCCCTGGTCCTGGGCCCTAGGGCCAGGATTCTGCTGTCCTGTTCTGTGATTGGTCGATTTCACAAGTCAGTTGGACAGGGGCAGAGATGGCTCTGATCTGAGCTAAAATGTGTTTCTCTCACTGGCTTTATCTGAGCCATCCTTCCCTAATACTAGGCTCCAGGGTCAGGGTGGGTTTCTCTAGCCAGCCCCTTTTCTATACTTTGGGTTCTGTGAATCAAACCCAGGTCTTCTGCCAGAGCAAAAAGTGGTATACACTGCTGAGTCATCTTTTCAAACCATAGAAAGAATATGTTTGTTATGCACATGACCATAAGCATAGGCCAAGATATCGTTAGTAGAAATAATTAGCCAGCCTCAGGGTGTTTGCTAACATCCTGGACCCTAGGCCTCATTGGCCTGCCAGTTTGACATATTTAAATGCAGGAACTTATAGGCAGGAAGAACATGAATGAGAGACTAGGCATGTTGGTACACTCCTCTAATCCCTGCACTCATGACGCAGATGCCAGTTGGTCTCTTTGAGTTCAAGGACAATCTGGTCTCAATTTATTTGGTGAATGGGAAAAGGCAAGAAACTGTTTGCCACAGCAGAAGTGTGGAGGTCCAAGGATAATTTATAGGAGATGTTTCTCACCTCTCACCATTTCAGTCTCAGGGTTCAAAGTGGACTTGTCAGTCATGCTGGCAAGTGCCTTTATCAGATTAGCCCTCTCAGTGGCCCTTAGATGAATGCTTTGACAGTAAATATATTAGCATTAATATAAACACATACATGCCCACACACCAAAAAAAAAAAAAAAAAGAAAGAGAACAAACAAATGAAAATGAAACCACACACAAAGAGTCCAGTGCCAGCAGATCACTCTGTTTGCAGGCATAATGACCTGGGGTCCATCCCAAAAAACACAATTGCCAGCAAACTGCTTGAGTACAACCCACATGTTGAAGAAAAACTCAGGGAAAGATCATTGAACATCATCCCCATTGTACTTCCAGCAATGAAACTCAGATCCACTGATCACATGACAAAACTCAAGCAGACCCAATGAAACTGAGCAAAACAGAGTAAAACACTTTTCTCCTAGTCTGTTTTTAATCGTGGTATACATAGTTTAAAGGAACAGAGCACAGCATATTTTGTTTCAGAAGTCGGCTTCATTTGAAAAAAAAAAACAACAAATGTACGAATGGTGCTCACATACACTTCACATACACAACCAAACAAAAGAGTTAATTTTCAAAACCAAAAAAGTTCATCCTCTTGAAGAAAAGCAAGAAACAGCTTTTCTCAGATAGTGAGATCTCCACTTTAAAGTCATCAAAAGTACAATGAACCTGTCTACTCTTGAGGTAATAACTGATAGCTGCAAAGAAAAAGAAATATATTTACTGGTAATTCCCACTAATTTGACATGTAATATATTTGCTTGTGAGAGGAACGATGTCTCTGTGTTCCTATGTCTGCAGTATTTCAAATAGTGTCAGAGAAGAGGGACCCAGCCTGGCCCATTCCTTCACCTCCTTCATATCCTCCCTTCTGGGAGCCCACAAGCTAATCACCCTGTAAGGCACTAGTTCTCAACCTTGCTAGGACTGTGACCATCTGCTGCACTTCCTCATGTTGTGGTGAACCTGCACAGGAAATTATTTCCCTTGCTACTTCATAACTGTTATTATCCTATTGTTGTGAATTATAATGTCAGTATGTATGTATTCAAAAGTTCTTAGGTGACCTTTCTGAATGAGAGTCCTATGATTGCCTAATGGGTCACTACCCTCCGGTTGACAATCACTGTCTAGATGTGTATGTGATATTATATTAGGCCTTTATCAGCTTAGCCCTCTCACTTATATTTTGACAAAAAATATTTTACACTAATACACACAAGAAAAGAAAACTACACACTCACTTCATCACATGCTGAGTACTTCCCTTGCTAGCCTAAGTACCTTGGTTCCCATCCATAACTAACAGCAAGCATCTCACGTACACAATCCCAGCACACCTTTATCAGTATTGGAGGTTGAGAGTAGAACAGCTGTAATACCTATATGCCAGCCAGAGTAGAACACACAAATCAGTAGAAATAGTAAAGGACCCTGTCTCACCTAATAAAGGAGAGAACCCCTCCTGTAGGGTTATACTTTGAACTTCACATATGTATACATGCGCGCACACACACGCACACACACACGCACACACACACACACAGACAGACACACAAATACACACACACACACACACACACTAGTATTGTACAAACAAGCATAGAACTGCATGCACACAAGCCTGCACACACCCCATTGGTAAATAATTTTTAGAATCATGTGAAACTATCTACTCTGGTAAACAAATGGTCTGTATAAACTCATTAGTACTCCTGTTGTAAAAGAGTTCAGGAAAATATCTTCTCACTCATTTTCAGTGTTTCTGTTTTTCTTGTGGCATGTGTCCTGGAAAACTATCCTTATACCATGTGGCCTATGCATTCCCTTTTTATAACTGACTTAAGCATACTTAGTTAATGAGGAAGAAGCAATGAATGAAACATGTGACATATGAAAATGTGTCCTGGGGGCTGGAGAGATGGCTCAGTGGTTAAGGGCATTGACTGCTCTTCCAGAGGACACGGGTTCAATTCCCAGCACCCACATGGCAGCTCACAATTGTCTGTAACTCTAAGATCTGAACCTTTACATAGACATACATGCAGGCAAAAGCACCAATGCAAATAAAATATAAATAAATTATAAAAAAAGAAAGAAAAAGAAGATGTGTCTAAGTCTGACAAGTAATACATGCTTTGATGGGTCCAATTCTCAATGAAACCACTGAACCAAAAATTTTCACATGATTCATTTGAAGTGTTTAGACATATATGTGTGATGTATATTCCCTCTTTTTTTCTTTGGCCAATAATGCTTCTGAAGCTTTAATCGTCTCTGTGTTATGTTGACGATGCTGGGTAAGTTTTTGAATGTGTGAGTTTTTCACATAAATAGCACATACCTCCTCAACCCTGATACCAAAAGGTAAAAGTAGACTGCTAAATTAGGCATGTCACTGAGATGACATGAATGACAAAGACCTGGAGTCATTATTTGTTGTGGAATAAAAGTCAGTGAGGGTTTCCATCTGTCAAGCAGCATCAAATACATTTTCAAAACTCATACTTCATAAATGTACCTGATTAAATCAACTGGTCTTCTTTGAATGCTATCTAAGCCAACATTATAGAATTACTTCACCTGTTTTTGCCATAATCCTCTGGGTAACACCCCTTCAGTGCCTCCAATGTATCCTTCAGGCTTTGTTCATGTCACTCATACTGTAATTAGACAATGGTTCTATTACTTTCTATTGCCATGCCCAAGGCAACTCCTAGAAGGAAGGGTTTGTTTGGAGTGGGGCAATATATGGTTCCAATGGGATGCATACAGATCCATCACCATCATAGTCCAGGCAGGCAGGCATGGTGCTGGAGCAGCAGCTGAGAGCTACACCTGACTCACACAAGAAGCAGAGAGCTCACTGGAAATAGCACAAGTCTTCTGAAACCTCCAGGTGAACCAATAATGACACAACTCCTCTGAAAAGGCCACACCTCCTAAACCTACCCCAGATAGTTCCACCAACTGGTGGCCAAGCATTCAAATATATGAGCCCATGGGGGCTGTTCTCACTCAAGTCTCCAGAGAGGTGCTGGGGCAGGCCCTTATAGCTATCCTCCATGTATAACAATAGTCATAGTTAAGGAGTAAGAACTTGGAAGGCATCTCCCAGAATCCTTACTTGCAGCTCCACAGCTCCCCTCTGCTGTGGGTAGTGACACATTTTGCTCATGCATTTCAAAATCACCCTCACTGTTCTGCTGTTCCAGGAACCAAATGTGCAATTGTGAAAGGTTGTGGGGAAAGCATTAATGCAGTGCAGAAGAGAGAGGTTCCTTTTGTTCCCAAAGCTCCTCATTGTCACATTTTCTTAATCTGGCCAGAATGCAAAATCCCAGTCATACAGACAGGAAAGGACACATTTTGTCCTTTTCCTTTTACAACTTCCCATTATACAGAGAATGACAGTGTCAGGTAGTAAAGAAAAGAAGGAAAGAAGGCATAAAGCTGAGCAGGTCCCCTTTTAAGATTTCTCAAAACTCTAGGGCTTTTACTCAAACAAAAAGGAAGCAGAAAGTACTGAATATCAATGGCTGTTGTGATAAAATTAGACTGAGAAAAGAAACATTTGGGGGCTATAAATCAAGACCCTGACATTAACAGATAAGTCTTAAAGTGAATAAAATCAGTGAAAATGTTAATGAAAACTAACGTCTCACATTTTCCTTAAAGGTTGAAAAGAAGGTACCTTGTGATCCCCATATTTCCGTTTGGCACCATTTGGTCCATTTACCACCTACATGGGATGGAGAAGGAGTTGACCCGGTTGATAATAAAAAAGGTGCGCATTCAGCCCAGGACACTGTTCTGGATCCCACAATTATTTAGGTATTTGCACTGGGCATGCAATGTGAGACGATATGCTGACCCTGAGCCTGCTCTTGGTCACCACACTAGTGACACCATGGACCCTTTTCAAACACTGACCCAGTTCTTGAAGCGTGTCTTAGAGCAGAACACAAGTGTAGTAGATTCACTACTGATCGGGAATCTTCTCTTGTTCATGTGCCATGTGACACTCCAGAACCTACACAGGATAGCAACAAAATTTTTGGTTCTGTAAATACAGCTGACCACACCAGCTATACAATGAACACCTCTATTAAATCTATTCCTTCTCTGGCAGAAGACATGCTGCTGCTCCTGATAACAACAGTAATGTGGTTCCTGGTTTCAATTATGATGATGATAACACACATAAGTAATATAATATTCCTCAGACAAAGTCATTTGAGAGATTAAAGGAACCAAAACGTTGGACAAGATGAGACCACAGAAATGGTTTAAAATAGATGAAGATTTTTGTAGTAGAAATCTAATTTTTTGGGCACTAGTGTGTAAGATTAATAAATTTCATGCTTTATATAGAACTTTTAGGCATTTCCTAGCACCAGAAAAAAATTGATTCTTTTTTTCCCAATAATATTAAAAATATATCACATAAAAATAACAGTTTAGTCCAACGAAAGTGCCCAAGTAAAGCTGGTAGGTTCACAGTTGTCTCCTATTCTGGAACAAGGGAATTTCTTTCACTCCTAATGTGAACCTTGTGTTTTTCTGAATGGCTAAGCAGAGATATATAACTGTTAAATATTAGTTTCTATTTT